CCCCGCGCGGTCCGGCGCCCTGGAAAGCTGGGTGCCGGCGAGGCTCCAGACTCGGCCTCCGAGGACCTCCCTGCGCCCGCCCGTGTGCGAGGTCATGCCCAGTAATCTGACACCGCACCCCACCCGCCGTCACACAGGTAGGTACACTGAGGCTTAAAAAGGGCCCGAGGTAGGCTTTGCCGTGACATTCGTTTGGTCGGTAATTACCGAGCTCCTGCTGCGGGCCAGGGGACACAGCGTTAGCGGCAAGGCTGGAAACACCGTTTGCCATCATCCCCCTTGCCAACGCTTGGTGCAGGCCCTGCCTCTTGTGGGAACCAGGCACTACCAATCCGTGATGTGCACCTCAGTTTACCCAGTTTTCAGGGTACTTCCAACCTGTGCCACTCTGCCAACTCCAGCTGGAACCAGGCTCCTCCTCTTCCTCCCTCCTCCGTTGTTTTTGGAGACAGAGCCACTATGTGGCTCCGGGTGGTGTTGAACTATGTAGTCCAAGCCAGCCTTAAACTTGCAGTGATCCTCCTGCCTCATCCTCCTGAGTACTGGGTTTACAGATTTATGAGCTCTCAGGTACCCCATGGTCTTTGTAATCCCAAACGAACAGATCTTCCTGGCAGGCATCAGGCTTGTCCCAGACTTTGGCCCAGGGGTCTTCTCCTTCTCACCTTACTTGGCTAAATTAGTTTAAGAAGAACTCACCCTTCTTCCTCCCGATTTTATCTGCCAGACCCTCCCTCCCCTCCGGGGTCCTGCTGTGGCTCTGCTTTTCCCAGGAGTCTGTCCAGTTTTCTAAATGTAGGGAGCCCGTACCTAGTTAATTTGAACTTCTCAAGGAAGAGGGGCTCTCATCCTGTAGTTCTGGCCTCCATTTTGTGTATAGGGAAGCTGAGGCTCATAGAGGTGACAGGTGGGAACTGTGTGGTGGTGCACACCTGTAGTCCCAGCATCTGGGATGCTGAGGCAGGAGGATTGCTGTGAGTTAGAGGTCATTCAGGGCTACTTAGCAAGACCTTCTCTCAAAAAAAAAAAAAAAAAAAAAAAAAAAAAAAAAAAAAAGCTCTAATGGACCTTTACTGAGGCTTCAGGACCATCCTTGCCTGTGGCTCTTTGTCTTTGTCACTCTCTACAACCCTCATCTTTGTTTTTGCATTCTTAGGCTGGGAAAGGGTGGGTTAGCCTTCCTCTTGAGAAACACTGCCTAGGGTTCAGAGCAGACCCCCGTTCTGATCCCTGCTTCCTGACCACAAGGAAGACCTGGGCAATAAGGAAGCAGGTAGAAGCCAGGTGTGGTGGCGCATGCTTGTATTCCCAGCACTCTGGGAGGCTGAGGCAGGAGGATCTCAAGTTCTAGCCTAGTTGAGGCAGTTTATCAATTTATAGTGTCCTTGTCATAACACAAAAAGTGAAAGAAGGCTGGGGAGTAGCTCAGTGTGAAATCCCTGAGTTCAGTCCCCAGTATAGCAAAATAAGGAAGGAGGCCCTATGATGAATGTGATCATTATGTACACCTAAAATGTACCAATAAATTTAATTAATTTTAAAAAATAGGGGGGGGGCAGGTAGAGAGGGTTACTTGATGCTCAAAAGATGGATGTTTGGTTTTGAGTTCTATTTTCTTGCTGCTTATAGGTTTTAGCTTCCCCCTTTTCGATGTAGGCGGTCTCCAGAAGAGGGGACAGGGCGCTGCAGAGCAAGAAGGTAAAGTCTTAGAGTCCTGTTATTTTTCAGCCCCTGGTTAGAGGTTAGAGCTGTGGCACAGCAGGTGTTTTGACTATCAGAGTTGAGTGCACAGTGTGAGTGGACAAGGATTCCAGTCCATCTGTAAAGTGGAGACCCTGAGACACGGTTGCAGGAATGGGTTCTGTCAGGAGCTTGAGGTAAGTTCAGGGTGGTTTTGTTTTGTTTTGTTTTGTTTTTGAGACAAGGTCTGGCTATGTAGCCCAAGCTGGCCTCGAACTCACAGTGATCCTCCTGCCTCAGCCTCCCTAGTGCTAGGTTTACAGGCCTAGTGGGTGGTTAAGATTATTGTCCTGGTCCTACTGCTTCTGTGTAGGTCAGGATCAGAGACTGCACCATTTCAGCTCCTGGCCCTTAGGGTCTCCTTTTCTCCAGCTGCCCCCATCCTGAGCTACCCTGTGAATCCAGACCTCAGGTTCAAACTCAGGATAAAATGCTATTTTCCAAAGTAGATCTAGGCCCACATCTGGGTGACCATGGCAACCTATGCACCTAAGGCTTTGATTTTTCGGGTGTCATCCATGTTTTCCAGTGTTCAGTGAGGCTGTGACCCTGAAACTCCAGTGTTATTTCTCCTGTTCCCACCACTTGGCTCAAATATAGTGTGGTACCTGCCTGAGGACAGGGGTGATCTTCTCATCTTTGAATCCCACTGCCTAGATCGGGTCCTAAAACTAGAAGTAGCCCAGGAGTGGATGTTGAGTGATGGAAAAACTAAGGTTCCCATGGGGAAAAAAGATCATGTGAGAAGTGTCTTTTATACTAACATGTCAGTGACTGTTCTCCTCTCCCAGCGTGGTAGAAAGAGTGGAATACCAAGAACTTCAATGGGAAAATTACACAAGATTAAGAAAGAAGAGAGAAGGGGCCTGGGGGTTTAGGTCAGTGGTTCTGCTGCCTTGCAAGCTCAAGGTACTGAGTTCAATCCCTGGTACAAAAAAAAGAAAAGGAAAGGAAAGAAAAGAAGAAGAGAGAAGCCCAGACGGGCATCTGAGCAGGCTGAAGGTTTCTGCCTGGACTCTGAGCTCTGGAATGCTCCTCCCACTCACTCAACAGCCAGCACCTCTGCCTGCCCCACTGGGTGGGCTCAATGGCCTTTGTTGATGTGGAAACAGGTTTAGTGGCCAAAATCAATCCAGGCTGGGCTGGAATTCAGGATCCTCCTACCTCAGCCTCTCTCCCAGAGTACCAGGATTGTACACTTGCTCCTCCCACTTCTGTTTAATTGCAAAAGCAGATGGCTTGGTTCCAATGTGTTCCCCAAAGCTCCTGTACTGGGATTACAGGTGTCCGCCATCATGCCCAGCCTTGCAGTGAGATTATATAGGCCTGTTTTGTCACATCTGGCTTTAAAATTTTCTTCCTAAGGAAAACAAAAACTAATTAAATATCTCTTCATATAGAACCTTCAACAGTCTTTTTTTTAATCCTCTAAAGTCTTGTTTTGTTGTTGTTTTCTTTTGTAATGGATTTTAAGTTCTGGCATTGATTACACAGCACTTGCTAAACTTGGATTGGTGTTGTGCCTTGCAGGAAACAAAGGTCGTGAGAGCTGCTCTCCATCTGCTCTCCTGACTGAGCCCTGCAGCCCACCCGGGCAGAAGCCTGCACCATTGCTGATTGGGGCAGCGGCCCTGCTGGGTGGTTTCCAGGGAAGGCCAAGGAGCTGAGCATAGGGCTGCTTGTGCTGAACTGGTGGCCAGCAGAGTCAACAGTCTTCTGGGGTGAAGTGACATGGACTGAGGGACGGTGAGCCGGCTCTGCCTGAGCCACAGAAAGTGGCAGTGTGGCCCTTGTGCTCGCATCTTGACTGCCTTGAGCCACAGCCCCTGGCTCATCTCTCTGAGGCCTTGGGGATTTATCCAGGCAGCAGGAGCAAGGGCTACTCACTCAACCCAAAGGCTCCCATTTGAGGTAAATCTTAGGGCACTGCAGATCAAGGAGTCTATGTTTTTGGGGGGTTGGTTTGGTTTATGGGTCCTTTTTTGAGACAGGGTCTTGATGCATAGTTCAGGCTGGTCTTGAACTTACCATATAGCCCAGACCAACCTTGAACTCTTGGCAATGTTCCTGCCTCAGCCTGCCAGAGTGCCTGGGTAACAGGCATGTGCCATCACGCCCAGCTCCTAGTTAGCCTCCCTTCTGGACTGTCTGGCATGAAAAGGGATGAAATATTTTGGGAAGGGGACTCTACCCTGCAGTGCCAGGCTTCTGAGAGTTGTTTGAGCAGCAGGGAATCTGCAGGTATGTGGAAAAGGCCCTGAGGGAAGAACAGCAGTGCCAGGAGGGAGGAGGACAGTTCCTGCACCCTACCTAAGTGGAATCAGCACAGAGGGAGCAGGGCCCACAGTGCTCCCTGAGATTTTCCTGAATTTCACATTTAAGGCACAGAGGTTTTGTAATCCACACAGTGTTGCACAGCTGTAACTGTTGAGAAATGGCTTCAGACCCAGGACTTCTTGTAGCCCACTCCTAGAACAACCATGGTGGAGAGGAGTTTCATCTAAATTGAGGTCTAAGCCAGGCGTGGTGGCGCACACCTGTAATCCCAGCACTTGGGAGGCTGAGGCAAGAGGATTGCTGTGAATTTGAGACCAGCCTGGGCTATATAGTGAGTTCCAGGTCAGTCTCAACTACATAGTGAGACCCTGTCTCAAAAAACAGACAATAAATTGAGGTCTAGAACTCATATACAGTTTCCTTCCAAAAAATAATAGATAAATACATGCTGATTTTGATGCATGCCTGTAATCCCAGCACTTTGGGAGGCTGAGGCAGGAGGATCACAAATTTGAGCCCAACCTGGGCAATTTAGTGAGACCCTGTCTCCAAATAAGTAATGAAGAAAAAGGGGGAGGGGGAGGGTTGTAGCTCAGGGTAGGCCTTGGATTCAGTCCCCAGTACCACGCATACATACACACCCACAAACATAGCCCAAAACTCTTAAGTATCAACAAGATGAACCTCAAAAAGATATTAAGCGAGAAAAGTGAAAAATTCCAGATGATCATGTATAATATTCCATTTATGTAAAAATACTCAGACGGGACAAGTCCTTAGAACAGAACAGCAGATTTGTGGTTACCAGGGGAGGGGAGATGGGATTGACTGCTGTCAGGTGTAGGGTTCCTTTCTGGGAAATGAAAATGTTCTGCAGCTACTTAGAGGTGATGATTAAAGACTACTGAGAATACACTGAATTGTATACTTTTTTTTGAGACAGGATCTTGCTATGTAGTTCAGACTGCCCTTGAACTCACTGTGTTGGCCAAGCTGGCCTTGAACTTGTAGCAATACCTTCTGCCTCGGCCTTCCGGTCCTGGAATTACAGGCATGTGCCACTATACACAGTAGAACTGTGTACTTTAAAATGATTCATGTTCTACAAATTTTCTGTCAATATGGAAAAAAAGAATACTGGATATTAAGTCTTCCCCACCTTGGGCCCTTTCCCCCGTAACTGGTACAGGCTCCAGAGATTTTCTTGGTATTTATAGACATTTGTGTGTACAGTTTTTGTTTTGTTTTGGTACCAGGGATCAAACTCGGGTCCTTGCACTTGCAAGGCAGGGGTTGGAACCACTGAACTAAATGCCTGGCCCTTGTGTGTACAGTTTTTATATGGATGGTAGTGTCCACGTGAGTTCAGGGCCAGCCTGGGATTCATAGTGAGTGAGTTCCAGGCCAGTCTGAACTACATAGAGAGACCCTGTCTCCAGAAAGAAAAGGGGAAAAAAAGTCAAGAATACATGGTTGTGTTCCAGTAAAACTTTATTTATAAAACCAGGCTGTGGCCCAAACTATGCCTTAGAGAACACTTAAATTGTGCCAGTGACAGTTGTAGGAGCCTCAGTGGATTATTACTTTTCTAATGAGAGGTAAACACAAGCACCGTCATTC